GGTCTCAAGAAGTCAAGCTCATCGCACCAACAACTGTCTGGTAACTAACAAATACATACTCTACAAACAACCGTGTTCACCTCTTTGCATTTTGAAATCTGTTCGTCCACCATCAGTAGTGACCTTGACTTTCTTTCTAGCATACTAATTCATGTCATAAGTTCTCTATAGAAATTTATTTTCTTTTATTTGAAGACAATCCAAGATTTCTGATTCTCTCTTAGCAGAAAACTATGTTATGTCTTTTCATTTACAGAAATATAATAATCTATTTTTCCTTTTCACTGGAGAGCAGTTTAGAAAAGACATACTTTGAATATTTTATAAAATAATGTTTACTTAAGAAAACTAGAAAGTTTTGTGTACTTTTATCCAAGACATCATTTACTAATTATATTCTAAATGTGAAACAATGAATAGTTACATAGAGTTTTCTTACTTTGTTTTGGGGTTAGTCTAAAAGATGTTTTGACATACTTTGGTAGAGTTTTATACTCAATGTTTTGAACAGGATCGGATACCAATCTGGTACAGCTATTGGTTTACTGTTGGACCGGATTGAATCAGATTTTTTTGTTTTTAAGAATTAACACTATATGGAAATTCAAAAAAGTACTTTTACATATAATATGTTATATGTTCTTTTGCATTAACTAGAAAAATGAACAATAAATATAAATTTAGCTATATATATAGTAAACAATTGAATAATATGTAAACTAAAATTGATAAAAAAAAGTTCAAATGATTGATCGTTGAGATTACAGTATTATTTATTCTTACAACTAAAGTTCGAAATTTTATATTTTATAAATATGGCAAATAAGAATAGTATATGAAAGGTAAAGTGATATGTTTTTACTTTTTTCTTACAAAATCAAATTAAATAGAAACCTAATTAAATAGTAATAGTTAAAGATTGATTGTGAAATATAAAAAAAAATAACAAATTTGGCTGAACAACAACTTTTCATTAATCCAAGAAAATGAATACATGATTGTAACCTCTAGAGATTTAAATCCAACATACACACAATGACAACGAGATTTAGTATCACCCATGAACACTTAGAAGGATCATACAATTAGTGGATTGGTCCTAATCCTTTATATAGTAGTAGATTAGTTCTTATATTTTCGATGTGAGATGTTTCTCATCAATACCCTCCCTCACGCTCAGACATCTAGGTTTGAAGCGTGGACAATGTGGTAATAACATCCGCAGGGGACTCAACATCGGTATATTAGTGGTAGTTGTAGTAAATTAGGTCAAAAGATCTTATCACTCTAATACCATGTTAGACTCGGGTTTATTATGGGCTTCCAACTTAAAACCAATTGGTGATTAGTGGATTGGACCAATATCACCACCAATGTGGGATATATTAATAGCCCCTCTCGAGATGTGGGTGGGTAACGGTCCATAGGGAAATAGCCCAAGCCCAACATCTCGGAAATACCACAGCATATGGGCCACTTTTTTTTACAGGTTACATAGGTAGTAAACTATTTATGTGGGAAATCATAATGCTGGGCCAAACCATGGGCTCTGATACCATATTAGTAGATTGGTCATATCCTTTTATATAGTAGTAGATTAGTTCTTATATTTCCGATGTGGGATGTTTCTCATTAATACCCTCCCTCACGCTCAGACATCTAGGTCTGAAGCGTGGACAATATGGGAATAACATCCACAGAGGGCCCAACATCGTTATATTAGTAGTAGTTGTAGTAAATTAGGTCAAAGGATCTTATCGCTCTGATACCATGTTAGATTCGGGTTTATTATGGGCTTCCGACTTAAAACCAATTGGTAATTAGTGGATTGGTCAAAGTCCCTTATATATTACTCATGTCCCATTCATTTTCCAATGTGGGATCTTTATCCCAATATCCTCCCTCGAGATAATGGTGCGTATAACCATTAATCTTGCAAAATCCATCATTATCTACCTTCTATGGGCCATCAGTTAATGGGTTAATCGGGCCATTTTCTGGGCCGGATTAATGGGTCAGGGTATGGGTCTGCTCTGATATCATCTTAGATTTGGGTTTATTATGGGTTTCCAACTTAAAACCAATCGGTGATTAGTGGATTGGTCCTAACCAGTAGTAGATTAATTCTTATATTTCCGATGTGAGATGTTTATCATCAATACCCTCCCTCACGCTCAGAAAATGTGAGAATAACATCTACAGAGGGCCCAACATCAGTATATTAGTAGTAGTTGTAGTAAATTAGGTCAAAAGATCTTATCGCTCTGATACCATGTTAGTTTCGAGTTTATTATGGGCTTCCAACTTAAAACCAATTGGTGAATAGTGGATTGGCCTTTAACCCTTCATATAGTAGTAGATTAATTCTTATATTTTTGATGTGGGATGTTTTTCATCAATACATACGCTACCCAATCAAAACGTTGGTGTATTTTTCACCGCAGTGAACCGAGTTCATCCCACGACCCGAGATGAACCGTTTCCTAACCCCTAAATTAGACCACATGATACGAAGACAAGAATATGCACGAACAGACCATAAACCTAAACCGGATTATACTTCATGCTCAAGCCGTTAGTCCCCAAAAGATTCAAGTTGAGTGCATGTACTAATGTGAGAATAACATCTACAGAGGGCCCAACATCAGTATATTAGTAGTAGTTGTAGTAAATTAGATCAAAAGATCTTATCGCTCTGATACCATGTTAGATTCGAGTTTATTATGGGCTTCCAACTTAAAACCAATTGGTGAATAGTGGATTGGCATTTAACCCTTCATATAGTAGTAGATTAATTCTTATATTTTTGATGTGGGATGTTTTTCATCAATACATACGCTACCCAATCAAAACGTTGGTGTATCTTTCACCGCAGTGAACCGAGTTCATCCCACGACCCGAGATGAACCGTTTCCTAACCCCTAAATTAGACCACATGATACGAAGACAAGAATATGCACGAACAGACCATAAACCTAAACCGGATTATAGTTCATGCTCAAGCCGTTAGTCCCCAAAAGATTCAAGTTGAGTGCATGTACTAATGACATCATCACCGAGACGGCGCATTCCAGGATCGATTCATAATCGCTGTCAATATTTGTATCCATTCATAGCCAAAAAACCGGACATATAACCCGGAATGAAAGTCGAATCGTGACGTTGGGTATTGGGACTGATTTTCTGTTCCACGTTTCAGGAGGTTCGACGCTCGTACCGCCGGACACAGGAGGAGGAGGAGGAGGAGGAGGAGGAGGAGGAGGAAGTAGGAGGACAGGATGTAGCAAACAATGTTCAAGAACCAAGAACCAACAGAAGTGATCACGGAGGCCAAGATTTCAGCAGTATAAGAGCATGGAGAGGTAACAAATTAGCAATAGAATTTGATGTTACGGTAGAACTATAGAATATTGAGTAATAGTGTATGTAGTTTCAAAAGGAAAAAAAAAAGAGTAATAGTGTATGTAATACTAAGTAAACATGGTAAGCCTATGAGATTACTCGGTAAAACTAGGAAAACATAGGAAGACTAGGTAATACTGAAAAAGTTAGGAATAATAAATTGGAGTTTTGATGTATGAGTGTTATAAATATGTTAAAATTGAATTTTTTTTGCAGGAAACTGAGGCCATCAAACCAGAAAAAATGTTCTTTCCTCCATCTGAGTACAAGAAAAGAATCAAGGTTGAAGCAAGGTGTACGATAGTAGATGCAATTAAGACCCTCAAGGAGCTGAAACCGAAGCTATCTAACGTGGAGAGGAGCTGGTTTGAGGATCATCCTCAATTCAAACACTTTTTCCACATGAAAAGTCAGAGCAACCACAAGCTTCAGGGTATGTGGATGTTGTTGGTGAGGACAGCCGACAGCAGTAAGTAGAGAGAAGTGTGGTTTATTGTCAATGGTGTTCTCATCCGTTATGGGCTGAGGGAACACACATTGATATCCGGATTTAACCGTTGCAACTATCCTCTTGACTACAAAGAGTGTGATGGGACAAAGTTTGTGAATCGTCATTTCAAGGAAGGAGAATTGATAAGGTTGGAGGATGTGAAAGAGAAGCTGGTGAACATGGGACCCCATAGAGACAGACTAAAGATGGCGGTTCTATTATTCATAGGAAGTGTCGTTTACGCGCAAACAAAAGTTGGAAAATGAGCTCCAAATGTATTGGAATTTTTCCAGAGAGCCGTTGATGATCTGGACTTCTGCAAGACCTTTCCATGGGGAAGATACTCGTAGTATTACATGTTGAAGGAGATCTCTCACACCATGGAGCATTTTAGAGAGGTGGTGACAGAGAATACATTATGACCTCTACCAAGTTTTTTTGTTCCACTACAAATAAGTAAGAGAAGAAAATGAAATTCAAATTTTGTTTTGATTGACCAGTAATTGTATTTTAAAATGTTGTGTTTTGTAGGTTTTTGCATTCGAAGCAATTTCTAAGTTGGGAAATCTGTTTAGAGAACCTGTTGACAGAGCTGACGAGAAATGTCCGAGGATGTGCAGCTACACATACAAACGGAATGGAATGAAATGAATGTCACTCGCACTCATAAACAAGGAACTTGGTCACGATACTGTAAGTTTTAGAGTTATTCAGTGGTATGGTAGAACTTAGGTATATGTTTACTAAGTTCGAACAAGTATTGTAGAAGTATGGTAGAACTAAGGTATTACTTAGGTAAAACTTTGGTAAGTTTGAACAAGTATTGTAGAAGTATGGTAGAACTAAGGTATTAGTTAGGTAAAACTTTTGAAAGTTTGAACAATTTTTTTCTGTTTGTACAGGATATTGACATCATCATCCCCACCACAAGTCGGCATGAAGACAATCTCTTGGATGATATTATGGAAGATGAAGATGATGTTGATGAGGCTGATCTACCAGTCGACAGCTGGGATAAGCGTATAGATGAAGGGTTGAAGGTCTTTTTCAAAGACATGTTCGACGAAGATGTTGCGGCTCGGGAAAAGTGGAAGAAGAGATAGAAGATATGGTAGAGGCCCAAGATGGATTTGAGGTAACTGCACAGTCCAATCAAGTGGGAGATGTGTTGAAGACCCTAAAGAAAATGATGACAGTGATTAAGAGAGTTGAGAAGAAGGTTGATCAGTTGGGTGGGAGATTGGAACCGCTGGAGGCTTTTGTCAAGGAAGCAAAAAAACATAAAACAAGAAAGAAGCGAAGAAGTGGGTTCAAGTGTGAAGTATTTGTATGTTTTTATTGTTTTTCAAGAGTCAAGTAAGCTGGAGAACCGATACAAGTTAAGGGGGTTTGTATGTTTTTGTTGATTTTGAATTAGACAAGTTAAGTGCTTTTGTTTGTTTTAGATAATTGTCTTGAAAAATAGAAACATAGACAAATTAATTAAGACAACATAATAATAGTCAAGACACATAGTTCCATAGACATACGTCTTACAACAAACATTGACAACCTCCACTGACAATTACCAAAACTTATAACAAAGTCATGAAATAGCAGCTACACATCCAGTGTTCTCTTTGACTTCACGAGTTCCACTAGTTCCACTAAACTCTGCAGTAACCATGCTTCTAAATCTTCTTTAATAGTGGTCTGTCTTGCTTCAACTATTAAAATCTCTTCAACCAAAGCTTCATCAAACCACTTGAAGAGATGAGTTTCACCCTCTCTCTGCAACAAACATTATCCAGTTAAAGCAAACAAACTAAAACATTAAATTTTCTTCAATTTCGAAAGTGCCAAAAACATACCATCCTAGCTTCTTCACAACGATAGAATCTTCGAAAAGGATTCCTTGTTGTCTTCGAAACAAATACGGAGATGGGGTTTCCACACCAGCAGTGTGATGGAATACCATGAAGGAAGTCTCTCTTTCTCCGGGGACATGATATTTCGGCTTTCATGTTTCAAGAATCTAATTTCTCTGTTAAATGAAAAACTGAAGAAGAGAAAGAGAGAAGTTTGGTTGTGTTGTTTGTTGTTTCACACTGTACCTACCTCACACAGGATTTTAAAGGAAAATGGAGAAAGTTCGGCCGAGTGGGCCAGGTTTGTTGATTGTTTGACCTCAATTTGTTGTTTTTTTGTTTGTGAATAATGAATTATGTTATCACTAAACACTAAACATTCCATAATAGAGTTTAAAAAATACTTAAACATAACATAAGGAGGCATAGCATAAGTTTTGACACATTATTATCATACAAGCCTTAACAAACAAAGACTTATATTATCTGAAACATATAACAACATAAAACAACAGAGAGAGTCATCTCAAACAAACACAGACACACATAAGCGAGCCAAAGCTCATTCTTCTGAGATGTGCTCATTGACAAGCCTCTTAAGCTTTGCAATCTCTTCAGCCATATCATTCACCTCCCTCCTTAACTTCTCGACTTCCTTCTCAACACCTAAAGCCCATGGCTGACGAAAGTGCATCCCATCGTCCTGCACGTTCAACATATTTCCACTCAGTATAACACAGTTTCAACCAGAATTACTCAACATAGTTTCACTCAGGATAACACGGTTTCACCAGAATTACTCAACGTAGTTTCACTCAGTATAATACGGTTTCACTCAGTATTACATCGTTTAAATCAGAGATAAAAATTACCTCGTATGACTTGCAGGTGAAGTACCTTATCCCAGGTAACGTGTCGAAATCTGAAGGATACTTTGCCTTCAAAACAACATCCTGCTTGATTTCGTCCCCACATGGGCATCGGGTTGGAATTCCATATTGTGCATCGGCAACGAACCCTAGCATGTCGTAATGTTGCTTCAGCCTTTTCATATCCTTCATCTCTTAGTACGGATGAGTCATGATGGAAAGGAAAGGGAAGGTCTCAGTTGAGTAAGTTTGGGGGAAGGAAAATGAAATTGAGAGAGAAGAGTGAGAGGAGAGATTTAAGAAGATAGGATAGAGAGAGAGAAAGACAATGGAATGAGTGAGTGAAGGGAGATCAAGACTCGACAACACAAGGAGAGCAGAGAGGGAATCTGCTTGTCTGACCAAAAAGCTGAAATATTTTGGATTTATTTGTTTAGACGCCAAAACTTTCCCTCCTAAAACTTGCACTTAGTTTTACAGAAGTTTGTGGTATTACCAATGTTCTTCATTTTCTAATTTTCGTGATTTTGAATGTTTTTAGTGTTACCTATAGTTTTAATCAATTATAGCAATTTTACTTTTCATTTTTAGCCATTTGCATGTGTATCATTCCTGATTAGTGCAATAAAATATTATAAATCACCATTTCGTAGAATAGTTCTTTATAAGTTGTTGTTACTAAGAAAATGTTATTGGAAAGACAATGGAATGTATAAGAGAAAGTCTCAAACAATCACTTATTTCGTAAATGTTAATTTAAAATATGTTTTAAGTTGACGTTTTAATTTCTATAAGAGAAAGTCTCAACAAGGATTGTGTTATATCAAATAAAATTCTTAATCGATGGATCTAACATAAATTCCATAAAATATAATCCAAACATACTAGTAAGTCGCAGTATTCCATAGTTTTACATAAGCTAAAATCCAAAAGTTCAACAACACAAGGAGGCAACATAAGTAAGACTGAAACCAAATATGTTGCTTCATTCAGACGCATAACTTTGCCTTCCTAACAACAACCATTTGAAACTGAAATTTTGACTTGCTCGCCTTTTGTTTTGTGTTCTTTTACGCCGTTCTCCCAGAGATGGCTTCCTCTTATCATTTTTTCTCCCCTTCTTCTTGAGGCGCTCTGGAGGTATAACCTGAATCTCTTTGATATAATATGGGACATTCCAATCAAACATGTTCGGGACAGAATAGATGGTCTTGTAATAAGCCAATGCCCAAAGTTCTGCCCAGTAATATTTTGTGCACAACTCATGATATTTTATTTTCTCACGACGTCGACAGTCTCGTGAACGTCAAGCAAATACAAGTACACAGCAAGTCCATGTAGACAATGATACTTTTCATAATCATACACCTTGCAATTACAAGTCTTCCCTCTCAAGTTCACCAAATATAGCTTCCCATCTTCCTTGTCTGTTACCTCGAACTCGAACTCGAACTCAAACTCATAACTATTTAACTCACGCACTGGTGTTTTATCAGCTTTCTCCCATAGTTTTTGCAAGTGTATCTTGACAAGAGGAACCAGTTTGGTATCAATCGATCCAGACACAGCGTCCTTCTGATGCTCGTTAAACCAATCGGAGAATTGTTTGATGATTGTATCTAACATTGGTATTAAGGCATACCTCCTTGCGTCCTTAAATGTGATGTTCATAGACTCCACACTGTTGCTAGTGTCCAAGTTGTATCGGTCACGTGGAAAAAATACCCTTGCCCAAGTGTCTTTCTAAGTCTGCTTCTCCACATAGTTGTACGCCGAAGGATATCTCACCTTAAAAGTTGCATGAGTAGACTCAAATTCTGCCATCGTGTAACACCTTGCTAACTCCATAAATCTCCATCCGACTACGGCTTTGTTGGTGTTACAAGCATGACCTCTTACATTCTGGGTCAAATGCCATATACAATGCCCATGGTGAGCTTGTGGAAACACATTAGCTACAGCCATGATGAGGCTCGGGTTTCCATCGCTCATAAAAACTAATTCAGAAGAGTCTGGTATGACACTTTTGAGCATCTCGAAAAACCAATTCCAACTAGCTTTATTCTCACCATCCATTACACCAATAGCAAGGGGATAATGGTGACGATTGGGATCTTGAGCTTTAGCTAATACTAGTACACCACCATATTCGTTCTTTAGAAATGTGGCATCCACAACTATCATTTTCCTCATGACCGCAAATCCTTCAATACATGCTTCCAACGCTATGAAGAGGTACTTGAACTTACCAGCCTCATCCAACTTCAAACTTGTTTTTGTTTCTGGATTGGCCTGTTCTAACATGTACAAGTAGCTAGGAAGCATCCTATAGCAATCTTTTGAATTACCATGCAAATGAGAAATAGCTAGATTTTTCCCTCTCAATGCTGTGGAGTATGATATTGTTACCGCAAGTCTCAACTTTAGCAGATCTATGATATCTTTTTGGGAACATGAGTTCTCACTTTTCCTGGAAAATTTCTCATTCGAAAAAGAAGCAACTAATTCTGATGAGCCTCTTCTCTTGCTCTTGCTGATTTTGCTTTGAGTAGTCCGACAACATGTATGCATACCCGTGTACCTCCTAATATAAAAGATTTATGTATTTCAAACCCGTGCAGCTCTCAAACCCCATTTACATCTTGGTGCACCACATTTTATCACCAATCGTTTGCGATCCGATTTATGAGTAACATAGCGAAAGCATTCACCAAAAGCGGCTCTATCCACATCTTCTTGAATTGATTTCTTGCTTGGAAATTCCTAACACTTACTCATACCCATTCCATCTTCCCATTTATCTATAGCCTGACTAATTTTTACCACAATTAGTCTCAGCAGCGATGTTTGTCTCACCAGCGGTGTTTGTCTCACCACCGGTGTTTGTCTCAGCAGCGGTGTTTGTCTCAGCAGTGGTGTACGTCTCCGTAAAATCATCTCCTCTTGTATCATCATCACCATTCTCTGCCTCCATCACCTCTTTCTGTGCATTTTCTTGCCCATCTTCTACGTACAGAGTTATGGCATTAGGTCCAATTTCATCAACATTTCCCTCTAGCACTTCGTAGTTCATCCCAAACAAAATTTTTCCCACTCTAGACAGCTTCTCTAGCTGATCCGATCTACTTGTCTCCTCCACTAACAAAAGACATCTACGTTTCTTTCTATTAATGGTTGTTAGGTAAACATACAAATCCTCATCATCACAAATAGTTAACTGTTGCTCACAACCAACCACCATGGGTCTATATGACAATGACAGCTTGACCATACTTTCATCCAAAGCAAGCTTTTTATACACTCGTTCTTCCAGCATTGCCAAACTTATTTCATCCAATGTTGTCTTCACGGTTACATTATACATGCGCTCTCTGGACTTGAAAAATACGCTCACATGTTTCGCCATTGTATCCTGCAAAAAAAAAGCAGAATAAAGTTTACGTTATACAAATTGTTCTCAGTTCTACCGAGTTATCTTCAGTTATACTGAGTTTTATCTACCTCTGGTATACTACAATCATCAGTTTTACTAGTTTTTCTAAGTCTTACTTTGTATACTACAATCATCAGTTCTACTATACTAAGTTTTACCTAGTTCAATCGTCTTCCCCAGGGCGATAATGAGATCTCTATGCCAACCTACTCACAATTCAATTCGATACATTCA